CTCTACAATAAATGAAAAAATTAGCTGAGTGTGGTAGTGTGCGCTTGTAGTTCTGGCTACTTGGAAGGCTGAGGCAGAAGAATTGCCTGAGCTCAGCAGGTCGATGCTAGGATGGCTGTGAGTGTGTCACTGTGCTCCAGCCTGGGTGATGGAGTGAGATTCCGACTCAAAAAAAACCAACCTATGTTATCTAGGCTCGTCTCAAACTCCTGGACTCAAGCAATCCTGCCATCTTGGCCTCTCAAAGTGCTAGAATTACCATACCTAGCTATTTTCTTTCTTTCTCTCTCTTTTTTCTTTTTTTGAGTTGAAGTCTCACTCTGTCATTCAGGCTGGAGTGCAGTGGCATACTCACGGCCACTGCAGCCTTGACCTGCTGGGCTTAGGTGATCCTTCCATCTCAGCCTTCCAAGTAGTTGGAGCTACAGGCGTGTGCAACCACACCTGGCTTATTTTTTGATTTATTGTAGAGATGAGATCTCACCATGCTGCGTAGGTTGGTCTTGAACCCCCAGGCTCAGGAAATCCTTTCGCTTGCCTTGGCCTCCCAAAGTGCTGGGATTACAGGCTGAACCACTGCACCCAGCTTTTTTTTTTTTTTTTTTTTGAGTCAGAGTCTCACTGTGTTGCCCAGTCTAGAGGGCAGTTGTATGCTCATGGCCACCACAGCCTTGACCTCCTGGGCTCAGGAAATCTTTCCATCTCAACCTTCCAAATAGCTAGAACTACAGGCATGCGCCACCCGGCTAATTTTTTGATTTATTGTAGAAACGAGGTCTCACCATGTTGCCCAGGCTGGTCGCGAACCCGTGGGCTCAGGTAATCATTTTGCTTCTGCCTCTCAAAGTGCTGGGGTTACAGGCATGAATCACCCTGCTCAGCTTTTTTTTTTTTTTTGAGTTGGAGTCTCACTCTGTTGCCCAGGCTGGTTGACTAATCACAGCCTTGACCTGCTGGGCTCAGGCGATCCTTCTGCCTCAGCCTTCCAAGTAGCTGGAATTATAGGCACATGCCACCACGTGCGTCTAATTTTTTGATTTATTGTAGAGATGAGGTCGCGCCAAGTTGCCTAGATTGGTCTCAAACCCGTGGGGTCAGGCAATCTTCTCACCTCTGCCTCTCAAAGAGCTGGGATTATAGGTATGAGCCACCGTGCCTGGCCTGGATACAAGTTTTTAATTCTTTTAGATGTATACTCATCAGTGGACTTGCTAGGTCTTATGATACCTCTATGTTTAACTTCTTGAGGAACTGCCAAACTGTTTTCCAAAGCTGCTCACCATTTTTTATCTCCTACTAACAATATGTGAGAGTTTCACTTCTCCCAACCTTCTTGCCTACACTTTTTATCGTATGTCTTGTTAATTGGCCATTTTGGTGAAGTGGTATCTCATAACAGTTTTGATTTACCTTTCTCTACTAAGTAATGATGTTGACCCTCTTTTCATGTGTTTACTGATCATTTTTATATCTTTATTGACGAAATGTCTGTTCAGATCCTTTGTCTATTTAAGTTGGGTTAATTATCTATCTGTTGTTGAGTTGTAGAATTCTTTTTTTTTTTTTTTTTGAGTTGGAGTCTCACTCTGTCGCCCAGACTGGAGTGCAGTGGTCGCTCCCGGCCACCCCAGCCTCGACCTGCTGGGCTCTGGCTATCCTTCCATGTCAGCCTTCCAAGTAGCTGGAACTACAGGCGCACGCTGCCACGCCCGGCTAATTTTTGATTTATTGTAGAGATGAGGTCTCACCACGTCGCCCATGCGAGTCTTGAACCCGCGGCCTCAGGCAATCCACTCACCTCAGCCTCCCAAAGCGCAGGATTACAGGCTGAGCCACTGAGCCCGGCTAATAAATATATTTTTAATCTGCCGTGTTTATTGAGAGCTTGCAAGGCTAAGGGGAATATTGGCCTCTGGGAAGGTGGCAGTGTCAGGAAACCTTTGGTTTTGTGGAGCCACTCCTGACACAGAGCTCCTTCATTGTATTCTGTTCCTACAGATACATATTGACTCATTTTTTTATTTGCATAATTTTCTATGCAAATTTTGGGTGTACTTTTAGTTAAGCCAAGTTAGTTGAGGTCTAACCTAACTATGAAAATTCCCCTTTTAGTGCAAATTAGTTGAATTCTCAGTGAATTCTGTAGCACTAAACCAGGAGTTCTCAGCCCAACTTCATATTGGGATCATCTGGGGAACTTCTAGATAACACAGCTGTTCCTGCCCCACCCCAGACCAAAAAAATGGGAATCTCCGAGGGTGGGGTTTTGTTGTCAGTGTTTTTTTTTTCTTTTTCTTTTTCCTTTCAATGCTCCCTAGATAATTCAAATGTGTGGAAAGTATTGGGAACTGCTGCTCCTAGGCAGTTGATGGTTCATTAAGGATTTTACCTAACAAGATATTTCAGTGACATCTCTTACTGTTGGCATTCTCCCTCTCCTGCATTTCCCCAAGCCACATTGAACCCTTTTGTTCCTTATACTCAGTGGACAACTTTTTTTATTTTTGAGTTGAGGTCTCACTGTCAATCAGGTTGGAGTGCAGTGGCAGGATCATGGCTCACTTCAGCCTCCACCTCATGGCTCAGGTGACTCTTCTGCCTCAGCCTCCCAAGTAGCTGGGACTACATGTGCATACCACCGTGCCCAGCTAATTTTTTTTTTTTTGAGTTGGAGTCTTACTCTGTCACCCAGATCGGAGTACAGTGGCCACTCCCGGCCACTGCAGCCTCGACCTGCTGGGCTCTGGTGATCCTTCCGCCTCAGCCTTCCAAGTAGCTGGAACTACAGGCGTGCACTACCACGCCCGGCTCATTTTGATTTATTGTAGAGATGAGGTCTTGCCAAGTTGCCCAGGTGAGTCTCGAACCCACGGGCTCAGGTAATCCACTCACCTCAGCCTCCCAAAGGCACGGGATTATAGGCTGAGCCACCGAGCCCGGCTCCAGGCTAATTTTTAAAAATTTTTTTAGGGGTGAGTTCTTGCCAAGTTGCCCAGGCTGGTCTCGAACTCTTGGGCTCAAGCAATCCTCCCTCTTCATCCTCCCAAAGTGCTGGGATTACAGATGTGAGCCACTGTGTCCAGCCCATCTCAACAGCTTTTGTTCATTCCTTTTTATCTGCCTAGAATATTTTTCCTTCAACTTCTTCAGATCTTTGCTAAAAAGTCACCTCATTGAGGCCTTCCTTGTCTCCACCTTTTAAAATCTCGATTTCTGAGAGATCTAGCTCCAGACAGAAGAGAAAGAGGAGCAAATTAAACACCGATTTGCCAAAACCAGGAAAGAAGTAAAAAATTAAAAACTAAAAAATTTTTTATTTCCAACTCCCATCCCAGATTCCTGTTCTTCTTCTCTGTTTTCTTTTTCTCCTTACCCCAATCACCTCTAGTTCTCCTATTTATTTTGTTTTCCACTTGTCGTCCCTTCCCTGGAATGTAGGTTTCTTTAAGGCAGGGATTTTTTTCCTTTTATGTATCAGTCTTTTGTTGTATGAAGAAGCCAGTGGGTAAACTTTATTTCTTTCTGGATGCTCTTTCTTTCTGTATGTAGATCCCAGTTTCTGACCTATTATTTTACTTCTCCATGATTAACTTCTTTGTTACATTTCTTGCAAGGCAGGTTTTTATTTGAGAAAGTCTTTTTTCTACCTCACATTTGAAGAATAATTTCACCAGATAGAGACTTCTAGGTTGGCAGTTTTTTCTTTCAACACTTTAAATATTTCACCCGCCCTCTTCTTGCTTACTTGTTTCTGACAAGAAGGCTATAGTCATTCTTATCCTTATCTCACTGTAAGAAAAGTGTTTTCATTCCCTCTGGCTTCTTTCTTTTTTTTTTTTGAGTTGGAGTCTCACTCTGTCGCCCAGACTGGAGGGCAGTGGCCGCTCCCGGCCACCG